GACTTCCAATACTATGTTGAATAATAGTGGTGAGAGTGGACATTCTTGTCTTGTTCCTGATCTTAGAGGAAATGCTTTCAGTTTTTCACCATTGAGAATGATGTTTGCTGTGGGTTTGTTGTATGTGGCCTTTATTATGTTGAGGTAGGTTCCCTCTATGCCCACTTTCTGGAGAGTTTTTATTATAAATTGGTGTTGAATTTTGTCAAAAGCTTTTTCTGCATCTATTGAGATGATCATATGGTTTTTATTCTTTTTAAAATTATTTATTTATTTATTTATGGCTGCATTGGGTTATCATTGCTGCAGGTGGGCTTTCTCTAGTTGTGGCGAGCGGGGGCTCCTGTTTGTTGTGGTGCATGGGCTTCTTTCACTGAGGTGGCTTCTCTTGTTGTGGAGCACAGGCTCTAGGTGTGCAGGCCTCAGTAGTTGTGGCGCACGGTCTCAGAAGTTGCAGCTCGCTGGCTCTAGAGCACAGGTTCAGTAGTTGTAGCACACAGGCTTAGTTGCTCTGCAGCAACTAATGTGGGGTCTTCCCAGACCAGGGCTCGAACCCGTGTCCCCTGCATTGGCAGGGGGACTCCAAGCCACTGTGCCACCAGGGAAGCCCCTGGTTTTTATTCTTTAATTTGTGAATATGGTAAACAGACCAATCACAGGTAATGAAATTGAAACTGTAATTAAACATCTTCCAGCAAACAGAAGTCCAGGACCAGATGGCTTCACAGACGAATTCTATCGAAATTTAGAGAAGAGTTAACACCTATCCTTCTCAAACTCTTCCAAAAAATTGCAGAGGGAGGAACACTCCCAAACTCGTTCTGCAAGGCCACCGTCACCCTGATACCAAAACCAGACAAAGGTATCACAAAAAAAGAAAATTACAGACCAATATCACTGATGAACATAGACACAAAAATCCTCAACAAAATACTAGCAAACAGAATCCAACAACACATTAAAAAGATCATACACCATGATCAAGTGGGATTTATCCCAGGGATGCAAGGATTCTTCAATATACGCAAAACAACGAATGCAGGGTTCTTAAAAGACAAAAATGATGTTCTCTTTCTTACACTAGGACGGGGGTGCAAAGGGTTATAAATGTACTCAATTTTTATACATGTATTATAAGTATTATTTTGTAGCCATTGAATATTTTATAAGAACAATTTTTTTTTAAGTGTCAAGTGTATTAGAGGTTAGACACAAGAGGTAAGGCCACCATCCCAAGGCATATGTCGCCTCTCTTGAAAGAACTAGGTACATAAGGCTCTCGTGTTCTGGGCCGAGAGCAGGACAGGGGTTTGGGGTCTGCTCTACTCTCTTCTCTCAGGCTGGGCCGTTGAGGGGTGGGGAGGAGACAGGAGGGCAGTGCCTATCTCAGACTGCCAGGGATTTATTACATTTGCAAAACTGGTCTGCAGATGCAGCATAAGATAGAGCGCTCCATCCAGAATCACCCAGCCCACGGCTGATTCCCCTGGCAGACGCATGCACACCGGATAACATCTCTAATATCCAGGAGGAAATGAATTCCCCTACTTGGTTTTCCCATCTGGCCTCGCCCCTTGCCACAATGAGTTTATCTGGCAGATCTCGCTTCCCTGTGAAAAGAGGAGAAATTGTTCTTCTACAACTCAGCTTTCGTTATGAAAATGAAACTGTGCCCACAGTGTTAACAGAGGTTTGTGACTAGCAGAAATTCTTCAGCCCGTTTTCCAGAACAACAGATAAGGAACAGCTTGTTAAAAACCCCTCTGCTTGTAAACTACCTTCACTGATAAAGCTAGCTTTAATTTGTTTTTTTACTCTGTTTCATTTCATACCCTCCAGGCATCGCATAGCCTGGGTAATATATCACAAGATTCCTTAACCACCCCTACAGATAACACTCCTGAAGTATGGGTCGCTATAGTAACAGGGGCTTAAGTTGTTTTTTCAGAACTTTGAATCAGCTCTTGGTCAGTTCAATCTGGCTAAGGCTGGTTGGGACCACTGACCTTAAAGCTGGGCCCCCACAGGTGTCCAATGAACAACCTTTTGACGTAAGAGGGCCAAAAGTCCACTCTCAGATCACACTAAGCCCCTCCATTTTTGAACATGCATCCCACGAAGAAGCATATAATCCAGAAAACGCCTGCACAAAACACCACTTACCTTGCCTTTCCCT